CTCTCAGTTCGAAATGCATCATGCAAAGATGGTCTGGCAAGCAAGTGGGCACAAAGGTTTCGGGCAGTATCCAACTCGTGCTACGGATCAACCAAAGCCTCACATACAGAAAATCCTAGATCCCACAGTGGACTGTGTTCTTGCGCAGCCTTCTCCAGCTGCTCAACCAAAACAACCAGTTTCCTTTCGACCTCCGCTGCTCGATCTGTAGTGGCTGCAAAAGCCTACTGATGGCCGCACAGAGCTCACGGGCCTCCTTGTCCTGATACAGGTTGCAATCGAACCTCACCTCAGGGCTAGCGGCTAGCCGCTACTGCAACCTTCCTTTGGCTGGCCCTGGGCGTTGAGCCCGTGGTCTTTGCTTCCGCCTCTTTCCCAGCAACTGGCCCCTGTTGGTCCCCCTGTTCACCTCCATTACAAGGTGCCAGCTGGTGCAACAAAGCCAACAAAGCGTCCGTGACACTCTTTCCACTATCTCGGGCCTGCGTGACCCCATGACTGTCGGTAGCATGTCCATGTGACTCTGTACAAACAGCACCACCCTCATCTTGTCCAACCTGGCAAAGTTCCGACTGATCTTCATGCAGATGCGAAGGAAAAAACCGCGGCTGTGACTCGATGTGAAAAGTCTTCATCATTCGCGGCCTGGCAACACGCTTCGGTGCCCGCCAGCCCTCCCCTGCTGCACTGTGTGTGGTCTCTGATAGCGAGCTCACCACTGCTTCCGCAGCACCCGCAAGGCTATGTACCCCAGCCTCACGACCACACTGCGCAGAAACCCCTAAAACAAAAGGACCGCCAACTGGGAACTCAGCGGTACTGACCCATTCTGCGTCTTTCTGCGCATCCTGGGGCATGTTCTCAGATCCCGGCTCCCCGCCAGGCAAACTACACATGGAAATTGCTCGGAAGACCTCCAGACGTTGCTCCAAAGTTCGGTCCCTACCCTGGCACATGAACTGCAAAGCTTCAATGAGAGCGTGGGCTAAACATGGCAGAGCTCCACTGACTTCTTGCCGAGAGTGCCCTCGGCTCCCCACCCTCAAGGCACACGCAAAATTTTCCTGAAAGGCGCTCAAACGGACGTCGTCAAAGTTCGTGAACAAGCTCCAGGCCGCAACTCCCCTTGCTTCCTGAAACCGCCCCTCCTGACACGTCCCATGGCTAAAAGGATACTAGTGCATGAAGGCACGAAAAACCTGCAAGCGCTGCTCCAAGGCATGATCAACACCTTGGCACAGGGTTTGCATAACCCCTGTGACCCCAAACACCAGGAGATGCAAAGCAACACGCTCTACGAAATGAGGCTGCGCCTTCACAAAAACCTGGAGTGGCAAAGCAGGGCCCGGCCCTGCAAAGGATGAAAGCACGCTGCGCAGATCACCTCCACTCTCACCTTTGATGGGCCTTTGTCCCCGCTGGCCGTCTCCCTAACCCTGGTGCTGACCGTCCTTGGCACGCGGCGACCTGCTGCGCTCCTTCTGAACAACTTTCGGGGACCCGGCCCCTTGCATGTGATGATCCTTGTCAACACCTGGGAGTTGCGCAGGCGGTGTGGGCAGCACAGGTCTCCCACGTGAGTCCAGCGCTGGTGCAATCGCCAATTGGGCTCTGACACGCTGTAGTGCTTCTGCCTCTAACTGCACACCTGCTCGCGACATGGCTTCAAAAAAGGCCTCAAATGCTTTCGGATCTTCCACTGGGGGTTCCGCCGGCTTGGCCTCGATTTCGCCAAGCTTGGTCTGCAACTGCTTCTGCAGATCCTCCACTTCTGCCTGCTTTGCACTTAGCTGGTCCGTTAGACTCTGCATGCTACGCAAGAGCTCCTCATACGTTTGCTTAGCTTTGTCAATGCGCGCCTGCAAAGACACTGATTGCTGCACGAGGTCTCTCAACGAGCTGGTCTCAGCCTTAAAGCGCCGATTCAGGTCTGACACCGCTTGCCCATACGTGAGCTCTTGCTTAGGCTCTTGCAGGAGCTTCTGGATGCTCTCCGGCAGCGCGGAAAACTGCTGCTTGCAGGCCTCTTTCAAATCCGGCTCGGATTTTGGCACCGGGCTGCAGTGAATGCCATGCGACTTCAGAGTGGCTTGCAACTTGCTATCGAAGGAGCCCCAATGCGCCTTGAATGCTTCAAGCACTTCTGCAGGCCACGCTGTTCTGGTGTCCAAGCCTGGAGGCGGCTGGACTTTGGGCCTCCTAGTCTTCGGCGCTTTCCAACTTGCACTCTCCCACACACTGGGCCAGTGACCCTTCGGCGAGGCGGCTTGCCCCGACACAGCTATCGACTTAGCCCACGGTGTGTTGCATAGATTGCAGTGTGTGTGTGTGTGTGTGTGCTTGCTGCAACGGTCCGTCCATAGCCAGCTGCGGCAGGCTTTGTTGCAACATACCACATATGCACGGGTCATGCCTGCTCAACACCAGACGTGTCACGAATGGGTAAGGTTCGGCAGTGCTGCAAAAGGTCCACGCAAACCAAGATGAAATCAAGCACAAGCAAAGATTGCACAGTTCAAGAGCAACGTTTGATTGGCAGAAACGCAAGTTTGCAATGGCTCAGCTACTGCAGCAATGTACCTGTGTACAATCTCTTCAGCTTTCACAAGCTGGAACTGCACACGAGCCTACAACCCACTTTGACCGGCTTGAGCAGAAACACTTGAGCCAAAATGGCTACGGACCCAGGTTCAAACCCAGGTTCAAACCCAGGTTCAACCCAGGTTCAATTTTTTTTCGCGGACTTTTACCCGAAGGGCAAGATCCAGCGCTGGTTGGTCTTCAACCACTCGGTTACTAGCAGGCCGGCTGAGCCCTTGCACCCACTCGGGCGCAACGCTGCTCCTAAGCCGGGCGCGGCGTCGCGCGCGGTGAATTAAACCACTTAAAACGCCGCGCCGCCCGAAGGCGCGGCGTCAGCCGCGCCGCTCCA